TGGCATGTGGTGCTGGGGGATCGAACCGCGGTCCCTGTGCTTTGCCAAGCTTGTTTCAAGTAGGTGCTTTAGACCACTGAGCCATCTCTCCAGCCCCAATATTTAAATCTTTGATCCATTTTGGCTGTAGTACATGTGTACTCATTTATTTTGGGGATATTTGCCACTTTGGTTGATGAGGACAGGCAGTACAATGAGGAAATCCTAGTTTGTACCACTCTTGCTGTGTTTAGGGAATGAGGGAAACATTTTGTTGTGGGTGTGCAGGAAAGGACATACCCAGGGTCAAGGCTCTTTATAATATTATAAGCACAGCACTTATTCATGGACTGAGGGAGTGAAGGAAGAAAGTACTTGTGAGTGAACATGTGGACATAGGGACCACCCAGTGTCATCCTTCCATGTTGGAAGGATGGACTTCTAGCTCTTCCTCTAGCTGGCTCCAGTGCAACCCTTTGGTACTCTGAAGCCCCTTGGCAACTCTACTTGGGAACATTTTTCATACCATGTGGCCCCATTTTCCTTTTAGAGACAATATCAGAGAGAAAAAACACCTTAACTTCCAGCTCTCCTTCTAGCCTTTATCTGCTCTGCCTGTATTTTCACCTCATGTTGGAACTGAATTTGCATATGTTGTCCCAGGGATTTCTCACTGTAAACAAATGAGCTTGAACAAATTACCATATCTTACCAATTGAAAAATAGCTGATTAATTAAGCTGATTGCATATGGAGATAGTTTAGATTCAATAAAACATTGTATATTTGTCTCCACACCACCCCTCACCCCTGTCCTATACTGTATTAAGAATTTTTTTTTTTTTTCCCCAGAACTGGGGATTGAACTCGTACCCTTGCGCTTGCCAGGGAAGTGCTTATTCCACCAAGCCATCACCCCGTCCCTTGTATTAAGAATTGAAGATTAAGTTTAGGACCTTTTCACTGAGCTGTATCCCCTTTTGAAATTATTTTATGAGCTACACTCCCCCCCTTTTTAAAATGTGTTGTGTGCAGGGTTTCACTTGCTGGTTTCAGTGGGCAGCTCAGTGTGCCTGGTACGGGGCCAGTGCAGGGATGGAACTCCGGTCCCTGAACTCAGACCCTTGTGCTTGCCAGGGAAGCACTTATTCTACTGAGCCATCTGCCCTTCCCCTAGCTGAGCTATCTTATGCTGGCCCTTGAGCTACCTCTGAACCTCATATATTTTTTTATTTTTATTTTTAAAATTTTGAGACAGTCTTGCTAATTTGCCCAGGCCAGCCTTGATCTTGGGATCCTCCTATCCCAGTCTACCGAATACGTGGAATTCCAGGTGTGTGCTGCCTCATACAGCTGCCTTTCCTCATCTTAAATATAAATGTCAGTGATAGGGTACTGTATGATGATTAATATTCATTCTGTGGAATACTTAACTGTGTTCCTCTTTGGGAATTTTAGGTTGTTTGCAATTTTTAATTTTATTCTGATAATGAAATATGGAAATGTTTTTCTCCATTTTTAAGATCATTTTCCAGGATATATTTACCTACTGAATCAAATGGGTAGAAGATGACAAAGATTGGTGCTTTAGATTGTTAACCATTCAGAGGAATATGTAAAACAGAATTAAGCATTCAAATAATACTTACTAGATGAAAGAACATTGCTTCAATTGCTTTCCAATATGGTTCTGCCAGTTTTCATTCTCACTAATACAAGACTTTTTCAGCAACATCTGACTCTTAAAATACTTCATGTGTAATCAGAAAAATTTTGTATCTGTCTTGGAGAAAAAACCCTACTGGAAAATACAAATAAGGTCTATTATTCTCTTTATTGTTGCTGATGGGTAAATCTGTGTGTTTTTTCTTACAGGACTGAATTTGCTCTTAAAGAAATCATGTCCTCTGGAGGTGCTGAAGATGACATCCCTCAGGGAGAGCGAAAAACGGTTACAGATTTTTGTTATCTGCTAGATAAATCTAAGCAACTGTTCAATGGGTTAAGGTTAGTGGACTCTTGATGATTTAAGCTTTTGTCTGGTTATGCTATTTTTTTTTTTTGATGGCTAATTTGTTATAAGTTTCAAAAAGTCATGGCATTATGCCATATACCACAGCACTTGGGAGGCTGAAGCAGGAAAATTGCTGTGAGTTGGAGGCCATCTTAAACAGGGTTTCAAGGTCAGCTTGAACTGCATCATGAAACCCTGTCTCAAAAAGACAAAAGAAAAGAAAGGAAGTCATGTATAGATATTATATAAGCTTCTATGAGAAGTGGTCATGAATTTTTTTCCTTTGAAATTGGTAATTATTCTTAAACGAAAGAATAGTAGGAAAGGAAGGAAACGTAGTTTTATATATATATATATATATATATATATCTTCCTAGAGATATATATATATCATACCATATATAGGTTACATTTGATTTTATATATTAAGATACTGAGATCTGAGGAGCCCAGAAATACAAATCCAATTGACTGGGGACCTTGTAGTTGCAGTTTTGTACATGTGTTTATTTACATGATTCTTTTATCTTTTTATTTCTCTTTTTAGGATAATAATCTGTTGAATGTAATAATGGAGTATTCTAGCAGTGTTTTTTTTTACTTGAGTAATGTGTGTCCTGGGCATGCTGGCAGCTGAGGCCAGGTATACGTTTGTCAAAATGTGTTTTCGATTCTATGTTGTGTGTAATGGGAAAACAATTTTTTACCATTTTGTTTTATTTAAGTGATTTAACCTATCTTCCATGCAATAGGTAAAATACTAAGGATGAACAGATTTTTTTTTTTTTTTTTTCTTGGCGCAACCGGGGATTGAACTGAGGCCCTTGCGTTTGTCAGGCAAGTGCTTATTCTACTGAGCCATCTCCCTGGCCCCCTGAACAGATTTTATTACTGAAAGCTTATTTAATAGTGAATATTGATAAAGATAGTTACTTTTATATTTAAACACAGTCTTTCTCTTCTGTTTTATAATTCTACTATGCTCACCTAGGTATGGAATGAACTGGCAGTTTTTTTTAAGGTAGCGAATTTATTTAAAAAATGCTCCCAGTTCAAAAGGAAATGAAAGATTATCAAATGACTCTTCTGTGACCTCCCTTTCTGTAGCTGCTCTTTCATTCTCCTAGCCATATATTCATTTAATTCTATTTATAATGCTCATCACTCCTTCAGGTTTTATTTGCTTATTATGTCTCTGTAATAAAATGAGATGCCCCCAAGAGCAGAACCTCATTTTTTTATTGTGCCTCTGGCATTTTAGCCAGTGTCTTGCCCACTGTAGACATTTTGTAAATTTTGCTTAAAAGGGTTCCATTGATTGTGTTCTTATGTCTTATATTTTGCTGCTTTGATCAGTTTTCCTTGGTAGATTGCACTCGTTCTCTCTCTCTCTCTCTCTCTCTCTCTCTCTCTCTCTCTCTCTCTAT